AAAAAAAAAAAAAAACCGGAAGGACGAAGCTTGGTGGCTCACACCTGTAAATCCAGCACACTGGAAAACTGGGGATTGCCTGAGCCGAGGAGTTTGAGACTAGCCTGGGTAGCAATCAGACCTCATCTCTACACACACACACACACACACAAAGTAAGACTTCTCAGCTGTGAAATCATTAATATTTTCAATGCTAGATATTTGTGTGAGTTTTTGGTAAATAACTTGGAATTAGATGTCTCTGCTGTAGTAAAGTCATGCTAATTCCCATCTAATTTACATGATCAAGGTTTCTCAACTTAAAAAACAACCAGAATTGATGCTAAAAGCTGTATCATTCCAGCAATAGGTCATATTCAACTATGAATACACAAATTAGCCAGGGGAAAAAAAGTAGCCTATCCACGTAAGAGACACATTTTCAATTTTTTAAAGTATTTTTAAACACTAAAATTTTTTACAGATTAAAAATTGAATAGCCAGGCGTGATAGCGAATCCCTATATAGTTACAGTTACTTGGAAGGCTGAGGCAGAAGGATTGCCGGAGCCCAGAAGGTCAACGCTGAGGTGGCTGTGAGCGTCACCAGCCTGGGTGACAGAGTGAGACTCCAACTCAAAAAAAAAAAAAAACTGAAATGCTGCTGCTGTTGTTGTTGTTGAGTTGGGGTCTCACTCTGTCGCTCAGGCTGGAGTGCAGTGGTATGATCATAGCTACTACAGCCTCAACCTCTTGGGTTCAGGCAATCTTTCCACCTCAGCCTCTCGAGTAGCTGGAACTACAGGAACGTGCCACCACCACCCTGGCTTATTTTTTTTGTTTTTATAGAGACAAGGTCTCATTTCTCTTGAGACCAGGCTGGTCTTGAATTCCTGGCCTCAAGCAATCTTTCCGCCTTGGCCTTCCAAAGCGCTGGGATTATAGGTATGAGCAACCGTGCCCAGTCAAAAACTATAGTATTTGTTTTATCAACTAAGTATTTGTAATGGCCATTCAAACCATAAGAAAAATTCTCACTTAGGACTTTATGATGTGAAATTTTTTAAAATTCCAATTTCAATTTACATACATATTTTGGTTGCAGAGATGCACAATATGATCGATAAGACATTCAAACTAAAAAAACTGGAAACAAGTCACATGCTCATCGATAAAGAAATGGATAACAGACAGTGGCCTTGAATCAAGTTTGATACTTAGTAAAGTGTTTCTAAGTACTTCTAATTTTTTTAAAAAATAGACAGTGGCATGGTCATAGAATGGGACCAACACCCCCCACCTGTCAGGAGGGGTGAGCCAGGACCATATGATCAAATGGACCAGATGCCCAAAAACTCACACATGCAGACGACACCAATGAGGAAGACTTAGGAGACATCACAAGGCATCTTGCAGCTCACACAGGAGTAACCACACACGGAAGGATGAACATGGGGAAGAGTCCCCATGCCCCGGCAGGCAGGAAGAAGGGCCCTGGGGAGATATCAGGGTAGGGGCTGCCCTTTTCTTTTCCCTCAAGAAAAAAGATGTGCATGTGTATACATGGTGAATGTGTCTGGTGTGTGTGCGTGTGTGTGTGTGTGTGTGTGTGTGTGATGAACCTGTATGCATGCAGCTCAGGACCAAGAGGAGCAGGGAGAGCTGCCAAGGAGAAGGAGGTAGAGAAGAAGAGACCATGAGTGAGAAACAAGAGGAAGGCATGGAGAGAGAGAAAGCAAGGAGCTGCCGCACCCGCCAGCACTTCCTCCATGCCACTGAGGTCAGGACCTCAACTCTGTTCTCAATGACCCCACCAAGAGAGGGACAGACACACTGCCTCCTCTTTCCATGTGGGAAACTAAGCTCACAGAAGGCCACCAAGCCCATCAATGGTAGAGCTGGGGCTCAAGCCTGCTGGCTGCAGAACCCACAGTGTCTCAGTCCCCACACTGGATACCTCTCCAGCAGCCTGGGGGATGACCGAGCAGTGGTATCACCGCCAGTTACAACGGGCAGCTGTTCACACACAAAGAGCCGCATGCAAAAGCCTTCCTGAACAGAACGGCTGAACTCCTTCTGTGGTTGTGCTCTGAGGACCCAGTAGATGCCACATGGTCCCAAGGCTGGTCTGGAAAT